CCCGGTCCGGTTCCGTTTTAACCCTTCCACAGCCCCGGTCCGGTCCCGGTTTAACCCTTCGGGACCCCCGGTCCGGTCCCGGGTTAACCTTTAAGCGGGTTAACCGGGTTAACAGCCCGGTCCGGTTCCGGTCCCGCTTTAACCCTTCCATAGCCCCGGTCCGGTCCCAGTTCCACTTTAACCCTTCACAGCCTCGTTCCCGGTCCCGCTTTAACCCTCCGGGAGCCCCGGTCCGGTCCCGGTTTAATCCCTTCACAGCTCGGTCCGGTCCCGGTTTAATCCCTTCACAGCCCGGTCCGGTTCCGGTTCCGCTTTAACCCTTCAGGAGCACCAGTCCGGTCCCGGTTTAATCCCTTCACAGCCCGGTCCGGTTCCGGTTCCGCTTTAACCCTTCGGGAGCCGCGGTCCGGTCCCGGTTCGGGGTCAGTTTTAACCCCTCGGGAGCCGCGGTTCGGGATCAGGCCCGGTTCCGGTTTAACCTTCCAAAGCCTCGGTCCGGTCCTGGTTTAATTCCTTCACAGCCCGGTCCGGTGCCGGTCCCGGTTTAACCCTTCGGGAGCCCCGGTCCGGTCCCGGTCCCGCTTTAACCCTTTGTAAGCCACGGTCCGGTCCCGGTTCCAGGTCAGTTTTAACCCTTTGGAGGCCCGGTCCGGTCCCGGTCCCGGTTCCGGTTCCCTTTAACCCTTTCCGAGCCGCGTTTGATGCCATTTAATGAACGGTATTGGAATGAAGGACGGCGGGTAGAAATAAATAATTATAAAATAATTAGATGGAGAAATATCCGTTTAATATTGAATCGTTTTAGTTAATTAATTATCACATTCATTTATTTATCCCTTTATCCCTTTATTATTTATTATTTATTACTTATTTTTTATTATTTATTTATTATTTACTTTTTATTATTGATTTTTTATTATTTATCATCTTTTTCTTGATTTAATTATTTATTATGCTTTATTTAATTTTTTATTTATTCATTATTCATTATTTATTTGCTCTTTAATATTAATCGTCAGTTATTTATTATTTATTATATTATTATTTATTCATGATTCGTTATTATATCTTAATTTTAATTTTAATTTTAATTTTAATTTTTATTTTTATTTCTTATTTTCTTTATTTATTATCTGTTATTTCTTATTTTCTTTATTATTTATCACTTATTTCATTATTCTTTTTTTTATTCTTTATTCTTTAATTATTTTTGATTATTTATTAATTTTTAATTACTCATTATTTATTGGTCACCATTTATTAGCAATTATTTATTATTTCTTTTATTACCTCTCTCAATTAATTATTTAATTGGCCCCTCCCATTAATTCCTTCCCTTCCCACCCACTCCCATTAATTCCCGAGGCCTTTCCCGATCCTCCGGGAACAGAAACATCCCAAAATTCCAAGGATTTCCCAAAATCCCAAGGATTTCCCAAAATTCCCGGGGATTTCCCAAAATTCCCAAGGGTTTCCCTTTCCCAGGGGGAAATCGAGGCTCATTGCAAGGCCGAATTCCCTGGAAAACAGATCCCAAAAAATCTGGGAACGAGGAGAATTCCCGGATCCCAAAGGATCTGGGAATGAGGAGAATCCCAAAGGATCTGGGAATGAGGAGAATTCCCGGCCATTCCTTGGCCAGGATGGATTTTCTGGGATAATCCGAGTGGGCGTGGCCGGGTTAATGAGATTTCCGGGAATTAACGGCGTCACCGCTCTAATTCCCGACCCAGCCGGCTCCGACCTCTTCCCAAAAAATCTTTTCCTGGAGCCGCCTCCTGAGCTCAGGATTGGGAATATCCGGAGGAGATTCCCGGTTTTTCCAAGGCCTCGGAGCGGCTCCGGCTCCTTCCGGCTGGAATTTGGGAAAGGTGAGGATGGGGAGGGAAAGAATCCCGGGAATTCCTGGCTGGATCCCGGATTTCCGTGCTGGAATCCCCAGGATCTCCCAAATCCCAAATGTGGATTGGGAGGAGTTCGGGAACGTCGGGAAAGGGGCTGGGATTTGGGAAAAGTGGGAAAGCTCCTGATCCCAGCTGGGAATGGGAATTGTTTGGGAATTCCTTGGGAATTCTTCAGGAAATCTTTGGGAATTCTTCGGGAAATATTTGGGAATTATTTCAGAATTATTTGGGAAGTCTTTGAAATTCTTTGGGAAATACTTGAGAATCCTTTGGGAATTCTTTGGAAAGTTTTTGGGAATTCTTTGGGAATTTGTTGGGGATTCTTTGGAAAGTTTTTGGGAATTCTTTGGGAATTTTTTGGGAATTCTTTGGAAAGTTTTTGGGAATTCTTTGGGAATTTGTTGGGGATTCTTTGGAAAGTTTTTGGGAATTCTCAGCACCGCTGCTCCCACCCAGGGTGGGACAATTCCCGCTGGGAATTCCTCTGGAATGGGCGGGAAATCAGCTCAGGCCAATCCCAAATCCCGGCTTTGGGAACTCTGGGATCCGTGCGGATCCAGGCGGAGGCAGCGACGCATCCCAAGGATTTGTTGGGAATGTTGGGAATGTTGGGAATGTTGCCTGGGATCCCGTTCCCGGCCGTGTTCGTTTCCTGGATCCGGCTGCAGATCCCGGGAAAAGGCGACGCTCAGAGCCCGGAAAGAATTCCCAGGGTTCCAATCCCGGCCTCCTCCAGCCCCGGAATCTCCAGCGGCATTCCCGAGGTTCCGGCTTTTCCAGCGGCATTCCCGAATTCCCAGCGGCACCGAGATTCCGGCTTCTCCACTTCTGGGGAGCAGATCCCGGGATCCATCCCAGAATTTTGGGAGGATAATCCAAGGATCCATCCCAGGATTTTGGGAGCTGATCCCGGGATCCATCCCAGGATTTTGGGAGCAGATTCTGGGATCCATCCCAGATTTTGAGGGATAAATTCTGGGATCCATCCCGGGATTTTGGGAGCTGATCCCGGGATCCATCCCAGGATTTTGGGAGCAGATTCTGGGATCCATCCCAGATTTTGAGGGATAAATTCTGGGATCCATCCCGGGATTTTGGGAGCTGATCCCGGGATCCATCCCAGGATTTTAGGGGAGCTGCATCCAGAATCCTCCTCAGAATTTTGGGAGCAGATCCAGGGATCCAGCCCAGGATTTTTTGGGATCTGATCCCAGGATTCACTCCCAGGTTTTGGGGGATAAATCCTGGGATCCATCCCAACATTTTAGGGGAGTTTTGGGAGCAGATCCAAGGATCCATCCCAGGATTTTGGGCGGATAATCCCAGCATTCATCCCAGAGTTTTGGGGGATAAATCCCAGGATCCATCCCAGGATTTTGGGAGCTGATCCCAGGATCCATCCCAGGATTTTGGGAGCTGATCCCAGGATCCATCCCAGGATTTGCTGGGGGGCCGTTCCCCGTTTTCCTGGCTCCGGCAGAGGCCGGAATTCCTCTTCCAACTTTTTTCCTTGGATCAATTCCCGGGATCCGGGAGCTCAGCAGAGCCGCTGGATCGGGAACGAGGGATCCACAAATCCCGATCCCAAATCCAGGCCCGGAGCTGTTCCCGAACCTCCGCTTTTCCCTGGAAAAACCTCGGGAACGGCATCAAATCCCTGCCCGAGCTCCCGCGGCTCCTCCCGCGCTGAAATCCCGGGAATTTGGGAATTTGTTGTCATTCCCGGCCTGTGTTTACATTCCTGGCTCTTCCCCAATTCCCGCGGCATCCGAGGCCTCCCAAAGGTCGGGATCAAGGAGCTGGAAAAACGGGAAAAAAAAACCCTCGGAAAACTTCCCGGGATGATCCAAAAAAATCGGGAAAAGTCGGGAATGGGATGGAAGCACCAAAAT